GTGTTATCTGATATCAAAGCCAATTTCACTGTTCTAGAAATTGGAAAATGATAGTTTCATCATCTTTTGACTTAAACGAGAATGCTTTGAGAAAAAAAAATGGAGCAGGCATTTGATTGATATTGCTCATAATATTTTTAGTTGATCATAGGAAGATGAAGAAAAAACTCATATAAAATATGCTATAACTTCACAACAAATGATGCGATTCTATTGTCTTTGACGCTCAAATATATTCTTTTGTTCATTATGGCACCTGGTAAACTACGTATTTTTAATTACATTTTTGCAAACTAGGCCGATCCCTTGAATCATCAATACCTTCACCTACCACTCTTGTATATTTTTGGCTCTTTTTTATCATTATTTCTCATGATCAGTATTCCGAACACCATTTGAAGAGAAAATTCAGAAATATTTTAGGCTACCACAAAAAAACAAACATTATGTCCAATAGATACTACCAGTAGGCGTTAATTCAACATTTTACCGCCATAAAGCATTTAAATAGCAACCAAGATATTGGAGAAGTGCAGTAGTACTAAACGTAACGGAAACGAAGGCCAACAGAGATCCCAGTACAACTGCGAATACTAAGAAACGCGTATCCGGGCTGCATTGGGTGACACATATAGTTTTTCGTATGTTTAATAGATTTAATGGTTTAGTTTGTTCAATGATATGCATAGATTTTCAGATGTTTCTGTTGGTGGAATCCGTGAAACGTACTGAACGTTTTATAAGTAATAGACATATTAACGGTTTGATAACCGACGAACTAAGGCAGTGTCTATACACACGGTGTATGGTTGAATACCATAGACGTATGGTATTTTTTCCACCATGGATTTATGGCTTTTATCGACCATCTCCGAAAGTAAATCATAGTCCATGGTAAGTTTTGCCATGCGTCCATGGATGCATGGTAGAAAATACCATGCATCTAACGGTCGTCATGCATCTGTGGCACAATGCCATGCACACATGGATGAGAACCATAAACGCATGGTAAAAAATAGCATACACTTGAGGATATTCTGCCGGTATTTTGTTATTTTTTCTATTGTTCTGAGATTTATTGAAAAGTATCGATCGGATTGTGATATGAAAATATAGCGCTTGTCCGTTACATCATGATTTATCCTTTGACAAAGTTTCATCCTGATACACCAATTTTTATAACTTTTCACTAAAATTGATTGATTTTTCATTAAATTTTAGTGAAAAGTTACAAAAATTAGTGTACCGGCATGAAACTTTATGAAAGAGTCAATCATGATGGAACGGACAAACGCCATATCTTCATATCCCAATCTGATCGATACTTTTCAATAAATCTCAGAAAAACAGGAAAAATAACAAAATACCAGCAAAACATCCTTAACGGTCCTTATTCATCCAGGGCACAATGCCATGTGCATGGTAATTTCCACCATACACCCAACCGATTACTCGGTATATAGCAATTGGAACTACGGCTTGACATTTTTTTTATTGGTACTAATAGCGCATATGGGGCATTCTCCGTCAACTCAGCCACCCATTTTCGTCATAGTCTTAGAAAATTCTGAAAAAATTCATGCTTGTTTCGATACTCGAAAAAGTTTTTTGTGAATTTTTTCAGATTTTTCGGCTGACGGGCAAAGGGT